TTGCCAAACCCTCCAGAGACCGTTTTGGTTCTCGTTTGTGTGTGTATTGTTGCAGAGGAATGATCCTTGTTTGCTGCAGATAAGCGTACGGTCGTGATGGTAGACTGAGACATTGCAAACGTTTGTCGCCAACCACTGTTGCTCGTTGTACACAAAGAAAGCTGAACTTTTGATGATATTGAACGTTGCAGCAGGCCGATTATTTTCAAGTACATTTGTGTCGATCAGCTGTTTGGCCACAGCCGCTCGCCGAACTTCTGCAACGCATTTATCGTACGGGCAGTCGGTTTTCACCGGCACAGTACACGCTGGTAGACGATGTGCCGGGTGCTTATGTGTGTATATTTATGCTTTTGTGCTTGACCTGTAGCACATTACGGGACGTTCGCCTTGACGGATGAGATGAAGGAGGCACGCTCGGGGGACGGGGTAATGTAGTGTAGGCATATACATGTGTTGGCACTGGTGGGCTTGTGGACTACTTTGTCCAGAGTTTGGGGGGAATATCGGTGATTGTATCACGATGCAACAAGGAACGGGGTTGGTCACCGACTGCGATGTCGGCACATGGGGGGTGCTGGTTTGGTATGACTTGTGTCGGGTATTTGGCTTTTGTGTGTTTTTTGGGATGCGTAGTTCACCCGATCGCGTTTTACCTGCGAAGTCGGTGCCTGAGCATTTTTTTTTTTTTCTCCCGTCATCGGATTCTGTCGTGTGCCCCTCTGGCCCCTATCCTCCACTTCTATTAGCTAGACGACCCAACCGGGGTCACATAGGAGGGGAGGGGTTGGACCCCCTCCTGCGGTTCCTGTCTGAGGTATTTTTATCTCGAGAAGGGTACAGCAATCCCTTCCCTCGCGACTTACGAAATCGATTATGGTTTACTAACAACGAGCAATGTAGTAGGGAGGTGGTTCTAGTCGAGTTTTACCTGCGAGCCGGACACTTGGCATTTTGTCTCTAGCGCGGAGGGCCTTAAATGTTAAACGTCTCGTTGGAGGTCGGCTATTGGTGTTCGGTATTGTCTTAGACGGGGGTGGGCGCTTTGCGTCTACATCCGGGCCGTTTTAATCATGGCTGCTTTTTCCAAATTTCCGAATTCCATATACTTGCAAGTCATCGAAAACTTTGGAAATTTTTCCAAGAAATTGGAAGTGACCAGGGCCCCAGAACTTTGGAATGGTAGCTTCCAAATTTTTGGAATTTTTCCAAAGTTATGGCCTTCGAACTCGCCGCGCAAAGTTTCCAAATTTGGCAACATTCCAAATACTTGGGAAGAAGGTGCTGTGATAAAAACGGCCCTGAGTATTGCTTTCTGGTTGCTCGTTCCTGACGTTGCGTGGTGTTTCTGGCGGGTTATTGTGTGTTCGGAGTGTCGATTGGCATGATCTTGAATGCTGTGCATGATGTTGGATGCTGTGCAGATCACTGCTGGTTGTACTGCTGTCGAAGCCCCAAACATTATACTTCTATGCCTCTTCGGATTGAAGCCAAATACACTTCTCCCTTCTTCCCCTCGCTCCTCGACAAGCTTTTGCTTAGACGTGGGTTGTAGTGAAGGGGGGGATCTTTCTGGCGAGCAGGGCTAGACTCACCCTCAAGGGATGACCGAAACCTTCTTGCTGCTGCGCATATCCGCCGCGAGGCATGCGCGTGGTGGTGTAGTTGAGTCGGCACTGATGGGGTCAGGCGAAAAAATGTAGATGCGCGGGCCTCTGGCCGTCGGCGTAGGCAGCGATGCCCATCTCATTTTTTGTGCGCGGNAGTGCCGGTGTTTTCGGCTCGCACACACTGGAATACCAAGTCGTTCTGTGCCGGTGTCCGGTTTAGTTTCGGTGAATTTTCTCTGCACAAACCGACACTGTATCGGGCCACCCACTGTTCAAAAACGAGGTAAGGAAAAGGGCTGCTGGCTTGTACTTTTATCGCATACAATACCCGCCCCAAGCGTCGACAGCCCAGGCTGAAGGCATGCGCTGGTCCGCCGTTCGATGCTCGTTTTCGTGGGCTGCTTACTTTCTCAGCTGGCAGCGGGATGGGGTAGTTGGAGCGCTGTTGGTGCGATGAGCCGCCAGGGAGACCAAGCATAAGCGGCAGGGGGGGCACTCATGACAGGAAATGCACCCCCTGGGGCATGCGTTAAGTCTGCACGTCCCCCCCTTAGACAAACCCTGCTCTTGTACCGTGATCTGACCTGCAGGGTGTACCGAAGGCTGAGCAGCGCGTAGGGTGCAGTGCCAGCTGCACGTAGATGTGAGCTTCGTCGAGGGGCGATGGGTACAGGTCCAAATCTTGCCGTGTGATCTTTTTGTGCCAGGCGAGGTCAGCAGAGGGATGAAGAAATGCTGTCGCGGGCGGCGTGCATGTCGGACGGCGTTGAAACTCGGCACACAGCAGTCGTGTNCGAAAACCAGCCGAAACGGTGTTCGTTGCCTTGTTCGCTCGCCTCACCACCGTCCTTACCGAGACTTGCGCGGCACGCCTACTTTGTCCTGGTGCATGAGCCGCGGCCAGCATCGGGCTGTANTCAAGTCTCGCGGACGTTCGTAAGCAGGATGTGGAGTTATCGATGCGGCAAAAATATCGTGTGCCGTACTGTGGGCGGCGCAATTTGACGCGAAAACCAGCCGAAACGGTGTTCGTTGCCTTGTTCGCTCGCCTCACCACCGTCCTTACCGAGACTTGCGCGGCACGCCTACTTTGTCCTGGTGCATGAGCCGCGGCCAGCATCGGGCTGTATCTTACTCGGTTGTGGAGAACGCCGTGGCGAAAAAAATGCAAAGGGTGACCCAAGAGGTGGGCCTCGGGATTTGTACTTTTTCGCTGCGCTGCGTGCGGTGAAACGCTCGGCGTGCTGGTGAGGGCTAGGGTGTGCGCAGGGAGGGCCGCGAACCTCGTCGTCGTGGCGTTGTCGAGGCGCTGTTGAGCTCAGAGAACTCAGCTGCGGCGATGAAGAGAAAAAAGGCAGGTACACCAAAACACGTTACACGGATGCTGATGGGGCTGACGCTCATTCCTATCAGAAGGCAAAGTCCCGGAAAAGGTTCCGAATCGGTCCTTTAATAAATGCAGGGAGGCATGTCGACGTTTTTTTTCATGTTTCCGTGAAAAGAACAAGCAGGTTGTTTTTGCTTTTCGTGCTTGGTCCATTCACGGAAACGTGAACAAATCCGGGACTTTGACGGACGGATCGGGCNCACGTTACACGGATGCTGATGGGGCTGACGCTCATTCCTATCAGAAGGCAAAGTCCCGGAAAAGGTTCCGAATCGGTCCTTTAATAAATGCAGGGAGGCATGTCGACGTTTTTTTTCATGTTTCCGTGAAAAGAACAAGCAGGTTGTTTTTGCTTTTCGTGCTTGGTCCATTCACGGAAACGTGAACAAATCCGGGACTTTGACGGACGGATCGGGCAGGCGCACCGCGGGCGCTAGCACCACTTAGAGCGCTAGCAAGACTGCCAGACTAACGTCCAGGTCTATTGCAAAGATAGAGAAGCGGCAGAAGCCGCGTTCAGGTCGTTGTTTGTCCAAACCGAGTCACTGCATGGTGCTCTCGTCTTCAACTGCCGCTGTTGACGGGCGGGGATTTTTTCTACCACACACGACAAACACGGACGGACACAGTAAATGAGCAAAGCAGCACCGCCGAGGCCTCCAACGCGCTGATTCCTTCGGTTCGGCTGTCTATATGATCCTCACTCCCGGCGCCGTGCTGCTTCGTGGGTATTGGGGGCTTGGGTACTGCTCAAGAAGGTGTGTGAGCCATGTGTGCTACATCGCCAAACTGCCGTTTGAAAAAATGCGGTGAGATGACCTGTTGTTGGTCGGACACAGCAAAACAAATCCACGGCACCACACAGCAGTGGAGCAATAGGGCCTCCGGCACGCTACTTCTTTCGGATTGGTCATGGATATGATACTGGCTCTCAGTACCACCGCCGCTCAATGATTGTGCAGGCCGTCTACCTTTCGACAGGGCGTGCTAAAAAAAGGATGTCACACTTCGGTCACCACGGGCAAAATGAGCGGGAGGACTTGAGGGAATCGCAAACAACAACCAGTTTGCGACACTGCTCACTACCCCCAGTGCTGACAACAGCAGGCCGGGTGGACAGGGTCTGAACAAGTGTGTTGTCCTCTGTGGCTGTGTTCATTTTTGTGCTTGTACCACCGCTCTATGGTGAGCAAAGTCGATTTCACCTGTTGTGCCCCAAGAAAGACGTGCATTCAGCGATAGAAAACGTTTTTTTGCGGTGACATGATGATACGAACAAGCGAATGAAGCACCGATTTTTNCGACGTTTTTTTGCGGTGACATGATAAGAACAAGCGAATGAAGCACCGATTTTTTTGTTGACCGATCGGGGAATTATTGCCACCGATTCGGTTTTTGGGGGGGGTCGATAGGAATACGCTTGAAGCAAGATAAAATGGTTGCGTTTGACACCGGTGTCGCTTCGATTGAAATTCCTTGTGCCGGGCCGTCGAGGCGTGGGTCGCGCGAAGGCTCCACCTCGATTTCGTGCGCGTAGCTGTCGCGACCTACGAGAAATCGGCCGCGGTCAAGATGTCGTGGTCAAGAAACCGCTTTCAAACCGGTGCCAATGATTCTGTTGGGTTCGTTTGCTTCCGTAGCAGAAACCACAGGATTGGAATAAAATGACATTCCACAGCTAGGGTGAAGCCGAGCGATTTGTTCAAAAAAACGTGACCCATAACAACATTTCCTCCAAAAGATGTCCCCCACTACCGCTACTAGGGCATTCATGAAATTACTCCAATTTGCTTTGGTCGGTTAGGAACTATTTCCAAGGAGGTTGGAGCTGTCCTAATGGCATTGATGGGAGGGTAACCTAATATGTACAAGGTGGTCTGGCGGCTTTCGCCGCCTCGCTCAATAGATCGACTCCAAGATACGCGATTAGCCAGCGGTAGCAATAGAGTAAACATAAATGAAAATACAGCTTACTTTGTGCACAGAGAGAGGGCGTACTCTGGCGGCTTTCGCCGCCCCGCTCAGTAGATTGATTCCAAGACATACGAAAAAAAAAAAAGGGTTTCTTGCAGAAAGAGAGCGAACTCTGGCGGCTTTCGCCGCCCCGCTCAGAACTGCTGTTCATGCATATTTCCGAAGAAAACCCGTCCCTCGCCAGGGAAAATTCGAAGAGAGTCGTTCCGAAGCGGAATTAAACTCCAACGAGACAGATTATCGTTGCGCAGTTATTATGTGGGACACGAGAGGGAGGAGAAAGACTGTAGTGTACTCTGCTACCTGCTTGTGCTTGGTTGGGGGTGTCTGCGCTGAGAAGATGTTCCTCGACATGTGGAAGAAGAGGCAGAGGCTGGGCCGATAGGTAATGAACGAACGACCGCAGGTGGGGGAGGAGCTGAGAGGACGCCACACCACGATGCATCTCGCCTGTGTTTAAACCCGTAGTCGATAACCCGTGCACAACGGGTCCATCGACGTCTCAAGCAGTGGAGCAGCTGACCGACACCATGTCAACTGCTTTCGGAACTGAGGAGAAACCCTGCCCCTCGCCCGGGAAATTCGGAACGGAAGCGTTCCGAGTTACGAAGAGAAGAAGTGGAATAGAAGGAACATGAGCGCCAAAAGACCCAGGACAGATGGTGCTGGTCCATGCGAGAGGGGAGAGACAGACTGATGATTGTGTGTGAGGGGAGACAGAGAGACTGGTGTAAAAAGTGATGTGTGGATAGATGATAGCAGCAGTAGATGAAAGGGATAGGCATTCCCGATGTAACCCGTCCGTGCAGAAAAACGAGACTGACAGGTAGTCAAGTGTCGGGACTGAAAAGCAACGAAAAGTTGCGGATGTTGACCGGAGCATACATACAGCAGCGGAGAACAACAAGCAACGCAGACTGGACGTGTGAAGAATGGATGTGTGTGACAACCCAGAGAGCAAGATGAAGGCCCCGTGTGAGAGGCGTGCGAAGGGAAGGAAGGGGTGGAATCGTGATAGAGATAAAAAAAGCGGAAAAGAGCGGCGAACTCACGGGAAAAAGCAGGAAATCGGGAAAACGGGAAAATGAAGATTGGAGAAATGCAGGCCTGTGAGCCGTCCAGAGAGGCCGAAAGCAGCGCCGTGAGAGGCCGAGAGAAATTTATGCTTCCTTTTCCAGTGAATCTTTAAACGTCAAAAGGATAATAGTGCTTTATATGAATTAAGGTTTTATGGGGGTTTTCGAACGCCAAGTGGAGCGTCCGTCTCACAGCGTGGTAACGATTGCTGCTGCCACGATTTTGTCTCGGGGAGAGAAAAAACAAGAGGACATCAACGGCTTCCAACCCACCATGTTAAGAGACAAGTTACGCACCCTAGCACCACACTAGTGGATGCTTATACGATTCGAGGAAATCTTGCGTTTCTAAACATACATATGACACAAAGAAAGGCCCGCTGATTTTTTTTCACGGTCGCGCTTTTGTTCCTCCCCGCCCGCCGCTCAACGAATCTATGCATATGGTGTCACAAGAATCAGAGGCCAGAGAGAGACAGAGAGATAGAGTCAGACTGAGACCGACAGGCAGACCCACAGAGACACACACAGAGCGAGAGCGGGAGTAAAAGCAAGGTGCAAACCAGACCGTTTGCGAGGCTGTGCATCATCAGCCCTGTTGTTGTGTTTGCTGGAGGGCTGATGCTGGTCATGTGGCCTCTTCGTTTTTTTTTGTTTTTTTGTCCCTCTACCTTGTTCCTTTTGTGTCTGAATATGACCCAACGAATCCATCTCTATCGAAGAAAAGAGAGTCAAAGATAGGTTAGCAATCAATTCATACCTTGGTCTTCTTGCCTGCACGCGGGCAAACTTCAGCCAAATTTCACGTGTGTGCCATCACTCCCAACCATCGTATCAGCAAACCAGAGCAAAATTTAATTCGGCTACACAAACTGCAAGAGAAATAATTGTGATTTCTGGGCAAGTGCACGCAATATAGTTCGTAGGTGAATCGTGGGGCACACAAGTATTTTATTGTGAAGCATCGATGTGCGTAGATCGATACTACCGTTGTACATGTTCTAGGAGCCGCGGGACCCACGTTTTTAACTCTCTAAAGTTTACTTTTGCATGCGCTTCAGGTGCCATTCCCCTTGAGCTGGGGAACCTTGGTGCCCTGGAAACGCTCGACCTGGGGTTCAATGATCTAATATGTGAGAACAAATCGAGGGAATTTGAACGCTGTTCTTATTCTTCTAAAACAAGACGGTCTCCGTAGATGCTGTCCACGCAGCGGCAGACCATATCGCATCTGGATCTCACGGGGGGAAGATAGTCACAATAGACCACTCCCCCGTGACAATACCCCCCCCCCGGTGCTTGCCATCGGGGTTGGGTTTTCGTCGCTTGGCAACGACGTTGTAAAACAAGCTTTTGACCAAGTGTTTAAGAAGGACGTGGACGCATGGGCCCAGAAAGAACAAGAGACATCGAACGTTGGGAACGTAGAACTAGAAAAGAAGTTCACTGAGGACGAGGTTGAGGCGTGTGTGAACAAGCTGAAGTGCTACAAAGCAGCAGGAGCGGATGGGATAGCCAACGAGTTCATGAAGTTTGGGGGGAAGGGGATGATCCAGCTGATGGTACTGCTGTACAATTGGGTGTGGAAAAACGAGTATACGCCAAGTAGATGGAGGGAAGGAGTGGTTGTGAACTTGTTCAAGAAAGGAGACAAGACTGACCCAGGAAACTACAGGGGGATCACACTGTTGAACACAGTAGGAAAAGTGTTCTGTAAGCTGCTGAACGATAGGATAGTGGGAGTATTGGAGAAGGAACATAGCATTAGTGAGGGCCAGGCAGGTTTCCGAAAGAAGAGGGGGTGCGTAGACCACGTGTTCACGGTAGGGAGAATCATCCAAGGTAGAAAGAGGGCGGGAAAGCCGACGTACTGCTTCTTCCTGGACGTGAAAAAGGCATACGATACCGTATGGAG